CTAACATACTTTATTTTATTTTATTTTCTTACAAATTTTTATATTTATGATTATATCAAATTTAGTATTTTATTTATGAAATATTGTGTATATTTTTTATATTTTAAGTCAATAAAAATTCATAATTTCACTTTATAAATTGCCTGTTATTACTGTAAAATTTAACCTATAATTCCTAAAATATGGCCTAAAATTTGGCTCAGAAATCACACAATAATTGTATAAATTCAGGTCAAAAATAGGATAATTATTGAATGAATTACCATGCAATAATTGTGTGATTTATTGCAATTTTTAGCACAATTATTGTATGGTCAAATATACAGAAATCGTAGTGAATTTAATTGAATGATTTTTCAACAAAAATCACACAGACTTTTTTCATAGGGATAATAAGGCTAAGCAGAGAAGGACGTTCACTAAACTATTACCCAACATGTAATCTATAGAGCCACGATGCGCTTCCAGTCCCTATTACCTAGTGGCAGCTTAACTTCAGGTATATATGGCCATCAATCTACTTAAGAGATATAATATAACTTACCTAGTGCGACTAACACATAATTTCGTTTATTATAAACGCAACTCTCAAACTGAGAACCCTTTTCTACTGAAGAGGTCATTGTTAATAAGTGAAAACAAATATAAAAAAGTGAGTCTTTAAAGTTTAAAAATAATACACAAAAACACGACACAAAAAAATAGACTTACTTTTATTCTAAATTTGAAAGTAGAAGCGCGGTTTGGTCTCATGACTATATGTTTGAAGTTTGATTTTATGATAAAACTCTTGGCGGACATTTGATTGATAGATCTCGTAAATGAAATTTATAAATCGATTGGTATTAACGTTAAAATGCGATATAATAAAATCTTATAAATAATAATAATCCTAATTTTGCTTATTACCCACACTTTTAATAAAAATTCTTATTAAAAATGATTTATATATTAAAATGTAAATTAAAATAGAAAAATAATTTATAATTTAAAATAAATTTTATTCAAAAATAATCGTTTAAATTTTATAATAATAACGCATGTTACTAAAAAAAAAAAATTATTATTTTAAGTTTTACGAGACATAACATTTTCATAGGACGTTCTAGCTTTTGGGTATTAATTTGAAATTATTTTTTTATTAATGTTATCAAAGTGTTTTTTACTGGGGGTGATCATCACCGTTGGCCAGAATTATCAAATTTTACCGGTACTATATTTTTTTTAATGCTGGTCGATCGACATGATTTCAGTCACCAGTGATCATTACCCCCGGTGATAGTTAGAAAAATTCTATCAAAATATCATATTAGCATCTGAGTAAGATAAAAGCCACACTGATTAATGAAATTAGTCAATCGTACGGTCACTCGTACGACCTAAAAATTACGTAACATTAATTCCCTGATTTTTTATAAATTACATTTTTTACTATTTTTTTATTTAACTTATTTATATTATATTTAATTATTACTCGTAGAACTAGTAGATTGTTTATTATTTTGTAAAATTATTTGTTTCAAATCTTGAATTTCTTGTTTAAGTATTTGTATTTCATAATTAGCAATTGGAACAGATTCTCGTCCGTGATTATAATTCGTATTAATTATTGAAGCTGGAGCGGGAGGTTGTACTATTTCTTGTCCAGGGTGATAATTACTTTCATTTCTATTATCATTATTTATCACTTCAGGTTGTTGTACAATTTCCTGTCCGGGATAATAATTATTTCTTTCGGTTTGATAATTATTATCACCATTTTCATTTCTATTTCTTCTATCTTTAACATTATTAATTACTACGGGTTGTTGTAATTCATTTCTATTTCTTCTATCTTTAACATTATTAATTGCTACGGGTTGTTGTACTTCATTTCTATTTCTTCTATTATTAACATCATAAATTACTATGGGTTGCCGTACTTCATTTCTATTTCTTCTATCATTAACATTATTAATTGCTACGGGTTGTTGTACTATTTCTTGCCTAGGATTAGAATTATTACTATTAGCTTGATTATAATAAACAACATTTCTATTTATATCATTATTAATTAATGAAGCTGGAACGGGTATTTGTATGGTATAATTACTTCCATATATCATTCTATTCATTCTATTGTTACATTTTCTAAGTAAAATGGATACTACAATGATAAATGCACCACCGCAAATCAACAATATTACAGTTACGCCAGTTGAAATTTTATTAGAATTTTGGTCATTATATCCCGAAGAAACCGAAGAAACTTTTGGCGATAAAGATGACGAAGTTGGCGATAAAAATGACGAAGTTCCCGTTATTGCTATTGGTGCTGGTGGTGTTGCTAATGCTAATAATTTGGCTGATGATAAAGATGTTGCTGGTGCTGGTGTTGCTAATGCTAATAATTTGGCTGATGATAAAGATTTAAATTCATTCGTCCATATATATTCGTTTATATTACTGATGTCAAGTAACAGAATATCATTTTCATTATTTTTCTTATAACCTGATCCTATTAAAATTTATTATAACTTGGTTAATATTTTTATTAAACTAATTTAAATAATAGTTTTAAAAAGTATATTTACCAAATGATAATACCATATAATTTCCAATTACATTTGCTTTATGATGACTTCGGGACGCTGGAATTGACCCAGAAGATTTCGGGATACGCCATTCAAAATTTATTAAATTTAATTCATGAAGTTGATCTTGCGTCGCAGAGACAAAACCTCCAAAGGTGATTATTCTTTTACCATCTAATCCTATTAAAATATAATTACATCTTATTTTAAAACACAGAAAATAATTTGATAATATTATTGTTTATATACATACCAAGAACAGCGGATCCTCCATCTTTTTTAGGTGGTATCGTACCTGTAGTTGTCTATAATTTAATAAAAAAAAATGCTTAGTAGTAAGAAGTCTTTTACAATTAATTGATAATTTATATTTACTTACTTTCTTACTCCAATTATTGTTTACTGTATCATATATATAAACCTATATAAATAATTAGTTAAACTAACTAACCCAGAACAAAATTTTATCGGAAAAAAAACAATACTTCAAATTGAAATTTATTTATTGATTTCAATACCTCTGCTAAATTACCGGTATTACTACTATCTAAATAATGATAAAAAAATGACATATATAAAGATAATAAATACAAAGAATTATAGAATTACTTTGCTTACCTATATAAATTATCTTGTTATCAGGCAATAAAATGGAAGAACTCGCCGCTCCAATATTTTGTGTACCAATCGGATTTACTTTTTTCCAAACTAAATTTATTGTATCTAAAATATTAATATCAGATACATCTAATGCACTCAAGATATAGATATCATAGTTTATAGTTGTCATATCACAATCTACAAGAAATGGTTTGTCTCCTGCTATTTTTGGAATACTCCATGAATTACTTCGTGGATTAAATGTGTTAACTAATTCCATAGTAGCATATTTGACATTACTGAGGCCTCCACATATAAACAACGTATCATTATTTGTGCCACCTATCGCGGATCCAGCATTATAATGAGGAGAAAGAGTATTAATATTTGTTAAATCATTCACTTTTAAATTTTGAGTATTAAATGAGACAGAAAAATCGATATAAAAAAATTCGTTTCCAATTTCTTCAAGTGGGAAACCACCCAAAATATACAATTTTTTATCAAAAAGCGTTGCAGTATGACCACGCCGTTCTTTTAGTACATAGGGTGATATTTGGCAATTTATTTCAAAAAAAAAAAAAAAAAAAAGAAGTTATTATTTTATTGCAATCTGTGTTACATTCCAATTTGAATTTTTTTTTGCAGTTTCTAAAAAGTCAGCTACAATGGGAAAATTAATATTATATAAGTCTTATTATATAATAAAATAAAATCTATCATGCATATATTCGTCAACTCATCGATTATTGTAGTTCTGCTTTGTAGAAAATTTTTTTATTTCACTTAATAGGACCTGCAATAACACGTGTTGATTGTACTACTATCCATAAAAAGTGAATTAATTTAATATTGACAAGAATTGTACGATCAACAATCGAGCCAAAAAATGAAAAAAATGCAACGTTGCACAATCACTACCTGGGTTGTGATATAATAGTACTAGCATCAGATTATTGTCTGATCAGAATAGGATTATAAGGTAATAAAATAACTCTTTTCACCCTTGTTTCGTAATTGTTTTCTACATAAATATGTGGTAATCATTTGTACATTGTATAAATTAAAATTCTAAAAATTTATTTTATATTGTCAAGTGATATCAAACGGTACGACGCTTTTCCTTATAAAGAGATAAATAACGAAATAAATGTTTCTAAATTCAATAAGACTTATGAAACAGTTACTCGACGTCGTAACTGCAGTATTATTGTGTCTTATGCAAGTTATGCAAAAGTAAATATAATAAATTAAACCTCTAGGCAAAAACCAATTAATTTTAAATGAAATTTTTAAATTTTTGTGCATTATTATTTTCCTGCCATTTTATGAATCAAAAAAACTTTCTTATGATTTTGTTGTGGCGCAGTTGCTAACTCTAGGTACGTTAAGTCGTTAAGTATGAGGTATTTGAAAATTTTTGAAAATATTAGACACAGCAATCTAACATTTATATGGTCATCCGTACCCCAAGAAAAATTTAAATTTAATGTGAAATCTTTTAATTTTTATTTTTATTTTTATTGTTAGATTCCACGTGAACGAGGTCACGATACAAATTGCAAGGACAAACTATTCGTAAGCTAAAAGTAATTCTAAACTAAACCGTGAACCAAACCGCCATTACGACAACGCCACACTGGCGTCGAAAAACAAACCTGTGGAGGGGCGTACCTAGGCAAATTTAATATGAAATCCCTAGAATCTGGAACAATTTACAGTAGATAGAAATACCACGTGTTGTTTCATTCATAATTAGAGGTTTCGTAATATTAAATTTTGGCTGAAGTCATAATTTTTTGTTTGAATAATTCTGGCTTGCATGCATGATTGGCAAATTGATTATGAACTTTCAAACATTTTTAACTTGAACAAATTTTAAGTAGTTTTTTGGTCTAACTCAGAACTCAGAACTCAGCTTAACGTCTATTACTCTATTATGCTTTCTTCTTTACTACTAAGGCCACACAAATTCAATTTTTCGGTTCACGTAACATTGAAATTTAAAATCGACCCGGGGACCCGGGGTTTATTGTTTATTAGTAAAAAAAGTTTATATATAAAATCGTGACATTTGATTGGTTGACTTTTAAAAGGGAGGAATTTATTTTCGCTCTAGAAGTTCTCAGCCGCGTGATAAACTTACCCGCCAATAAAATTACGTTCTGATCACATGATAAATTTTTTATATATAAACTTTTTTTTATTGAAATTTGAAAAAGTGACCCGGCCGGGTGAAGTGAACCGAAAATTCGAATTTGTGTGGCCTAATAAATAATATGTGCATAATTTTAAACTTATATATATATACGATTTTGGCAAATAAATTTATATTATTCATTAAGACAGAAAAATTTAATTATAGTAACAACTTTGAAATAACATTATCTTTAAAATATAAATCAGTAAATAGCGGTAACTCTGGCCAAGCTTATAATTCCGGCCGGAATTAAAACTGTGTGTAACATCATTCAAATTTTGTGGCCGATTTTTTATTCGATAATCGGTAAAATCGATTCTGATTCGATTTTCGATTAATTCGATTTTAGTAAAATCGATTCTAAAAAATTTCTAATCCCTAATATAAAGTAATTTCTTCATACTGTACCATATATAATTATAATTTATTTGAATACAAGCCACGAATAATAAAATGTTAAAAGTGGACTATTATGTATACAATTTAGATTAATACACACCAAATTTATGACAAGAAAATAAGTTAGCATCATCATGACCATTTAAACTATAAACATCCGAAAGATTTAAAAACGAAGAGCCAATATAAATTAGTTTAATGAAAAAATATTTATAAACACGAATGTCAAGTTGCTACACATCAAGCTACTGAACGTATTAATTTTTTTTTTTTTTTTAAACACTTTATTAAACAGTTAAAACAGTTTGAAATAGGTTGTAAATGAGTTGCCCATTTCATGTTATTATGAAGGAATTTATTACATTGTTACGCAAGTAGAACCAAGCGTAAAGCAATGTGACATTTAACGTATTTACCGAATAAAATCAACTAAAATAAAAGTGCCGAAATAAGGGACCTTTATACAGTCGCCACTGGTTATACCGAACCAAAAACTCGTTATACTGAACCAAGATTCCCATTTTTATAATTTTTTTTTTTGTTAGTAACGCGTATTTTTTATTATTTAATGAAATTTATAAAATTTATATTATTATCTTTTTTTCTATGTTTTTTTATTTTATTATTATTATAATTTTTTTTAGTCTATATGATCTATATTATTATTCCCTTCTATTTTTCCTTCCATTCTTTTCCTTTTTTATCTTTTGCTGTTATGTTCAATTCTTTTGCTATAACTTCTGAACATCTCGGTAACCATACAGTATCTTTTCCCTAATATTCAAATAATTTCGTTCCTATATTACTTTAACCATCTCTTTCTTAGCTTCGGTTCTTCCTATTTTATTTAATTGATTATTATATAAACCTTTCGTCAATTCTCTAAATTTCAAGGCGTGCCTGCCAGTGTTTTCCGATATTAAAATTTTTGATGTTTGATTCATTAACGTTATATATTCTACCGTGACATGTTTTAACGGCTTAATTTTTATCGTATTATTTTTAAATTCATTTTCTAATTCCATAAGAGCATTGAACATTATTTTTTCTTCCGTGTACTCATTACTCGTACACTCCCACATGTGGTCCCAATTTGCTGGTACATTATGATTATTGGTTCTATTGTAGCATCTGATGCAAGCTTCCGTTATAATTGCATTATTACCTCTCTTGAATAAAATTTCATATGTAGGTAATTCTTTTATGAAATTGTTGATTTTATATGCCCGTATTTCATTATCCAATACGTTGGTTACAAATCTATTCACGCTTGTTCCTTTCTTAATGAACTTAAATGTCGTGTTCCAATCATATTCTGGCAATACATTCAAATGGAAATATCCATCAAATGTTCACTTGCTAACATTTCACCTTTATATTTGATTCTATTGTACATTTCATCCAGTTTCTATAGTAATCTCCAAATATTGGGCGTTTTTTCCATCTTAACGTATAACACAAATCTTCTATCATTAGTTTTATTTTCTCTTTTTTTTTCCTTTTTCTAAAATTCGTCTTTTCTTTTAATCCATGACACCGCCAAGAAATGTTCTTTAATCCAATTAAATAAAAATTTATATTCTAAATATAATTTATAATTCAAATTTTTTCCGTTCACTTTTTTCAAGATCAAAATTTATACCACTATTATATATATTTTTATCTAAATGTAAAGTAAATTCTACTATGTTCTTTATTAACTGGTATCAATATAATTATTAAACTTGATAATTCTATTTTAGCTGTTCATTAAAATATTAATGAAAATAAATTAAAAACTTACAAAATATCGCGTCCAGAAGACTGAAGGAGCCACCTAAAAAGTAAAAATAGAAACGTATAAACATTTTATTAAAGGATTTGTTTTTTTTTTGTTTTTCTACATAATCTATATAACTAAAAAAATACATAAAAAAATCGTAACGTTTAGACTAGCATGTTAAATAGTTTTGAATTGTGTAATAGTATATTTTCTGCTTGCGCCTAATCTATTCCATGTTAGCGTAAGTTTTTTTTTGCTTCTTATTTTCTAGATTATTTAGGTTAATATCGGTAAGTTCAAGGTATGAATTCCGAATTGCAGATCATCAATATTGTTACCGATTTTTATTAAATATTACTTTGTGAAACTAATTAAAAAATATAAGTTCTTAATTAATTATTTATATAATACAGTAAAGGTAAAGTAGATCATTAATTTATTATATAATACCCGCCAAAAAAAAAATTACGTAAACATACCCCTAATTTTTTTAAGTAACACATTAGTAATAGCTTTTGTAATATTCTATCACGTGATATCATCGCGACACAAAAAAAAAAATGTAATTATTATCGGAAAAATATTAAAATTTTAATGAGGAAATAATATTGTTTTATTCCGAGTTTCTGAGTACACTATCACTAAAATTTGTCTATAAAAAAAATATTAATTTATAAAATTATTTTACATTATCTTATCATTCAAATAAACTGACGATCAGGAGCTGCGGCATAAAGGTTAAAATAAAATAAAAGCCATATTGTTATAATATTTATAATATACAACCTGATTTACTTTATAAATCTTATAAGCGGACCTTCAAAATTTTATGCAATATGCATGATCCAATATATCAAAGCTTATTTTTTCATCACATGATCACATGATCAATAATATCAATAATCATGAGTCATCTCTTACAGAAAAAAAAATTTTTTTACTATTGTTTTGTTTGATCAATGACGCGATTTTTGGCTCTGACTATAGCAAACTCGCAAACTCCGTGGGAAAAAAAAATTTTGTATGACAATTTTTTTTATATAAAATACCTCTCCATCCAAAATTTTTTTTTAAAAAATATCCTTTTTTTCCCCTCATTCTTATCATTTCCAGCATAGTAACCCATAAAAAAAAAATAATGTTTCTTTTTTTTCAAAAAAAAGGAAAGAAGAAAGCTCGAACGAACTTATTTTTTTTCCATAGTAATCCATTTTCTTCGTGTTTTCTTATCGTCAAACACTACGCGTAGGATATTTTTCAAAAAGTTTCTTTTTTAAAAATTATTTTACTTTTTATTATTTTTAACTTTATTTTGTTTATATATAAGAAACCTCACTCACACACTTTAGTGCGGTAGTAGTAACCTATCTTCTTCATAGTTTTCTTGTCTCCTTTTAGGCCCTTTTTTCTTTTCGTCTCTCTTTAGGTATGTGGGTAGTGTGGGTTGGAAG